GTTGGAGTTCTTTTTGCATTTTAGTTTATTTTTTGTGTGAGTGAATTTTCTCTCCTCCAAAACCTGTATTCTGTGAGTTTTTTTCTGCTTTTTCTTTTTTTTTTTTTTTTTTTTTTTTCAAAAAAAAAAACTCTGGGTTTTTTTTTTTTTTTTTTCTTTTTTTTTTTTTTTTTTTTTTTTTCCCTAACATAGCAGCCTGGCTTTCTTCTGTATTCTGCACTGTTTTTGTGATATGTAGATTGATAGACTGACTTTATCAGCAGACTGAGACAAAAATGCCAGACATTTGAAACTGAGAGTAAATATGCAGATCATCGTGCATGGAGCTTATTCTGTGTTCCTTTCCTAGGAGAAACATGGAATGTTACTGTATTTTGTAAGCAATTAATATACTATGTAGCATGTTTTCCTAAAGAAGCAGAATTGAATGAGTATTACTTTTTAAATGCAAATTTATGAAGGTTGATGGTTGTTTTCACTTTGTCTGTTCTGGAAAAGATACTGTAGTCCTGGATTACTTCTGCTGGAAGCTGTGTCCTCTGTACTAAGTGTGCTGTTCTTAAAATAGTAAACCCTGGGGAATAATAGCAATAATGGTTGTATCATTTATAATGACCTTGGGCTGTACTCACCAGTTTTGACCTTTTTCTTATATGTAAGGATGAACTCGTAACAGTCTTAGTGGTCAACATTAGTATGTGTTACAGGGATCATCCATGACAGCTGATGCTTAGAAATGAAGACATGGTGTATGCTCTGCCATAGGGTAGAGACAAGAGAAAGTCTTGTGTGACTCTGTGTCATGGAGATTTGTGGAAAGTGTTGGCATTACTTTTTGAGATAAAGGTGTTATATCTTATAGCTTGCAATACAGCCCTCACTTTCTTATTCTGTGCCAAATTTCTGTTCCACACGTTTCTATCCATGCCTTTTTGCAAGTAATTCCCAGTCTTTCTGGTTTGTACCAGAAGGTACAGGTAGAAGAAGTGGCTAATGGCAGCTTAAAAGCCTCATTTAACAGGCAAAAAAATATGTTGGGGAAGCGTGAAAGGGACACAGCATATCTGAGCTACATAGGAAGGAAAAGTGTGGCAACAAGCCATTTGTACTGATAATTAGCCAGAACAGTCAGACTGTGATGTTAACCAAAAAAAAAGAGAAGGGGGCTGGCTACCTAAAGCGCTGCTTTTATTGTTAAATCAGTGTATATTACATCTGTGGTAAGACCACTGATGTCAGCCGGGCCACATGTGGAAAAAAGCTGCTAGGAGACAAAATTCTACTGCTAAGAGAGAAAGTTTGTATATTGATGATTAGTTTATGTATGAGTGTGTAGTTCTTGCTCTGAATGCAGTTTGTGTGATTTTGGAGACAGAGGCAAGCTATGTTAGTATGGTTAGTACATTGAGATGAGTGAGTCCCTAAATTATGTTTGAACAAGAGGACATTTGGCAAGAGGGATCAATTACTTATTGTCTAGTCTCAGGGCTGGTTTATGGTACCTTTCTGTGGTTTTCTTACAAGGAATTTTTTTTTTTTATCAGTCACAGAATCACAGAATTGTAGGGGTTGGAAGGGACCTCCAGAGATCATCGAGTCCAACCCCCCTGCCAAAGCAGGTTCCCTACACCAGGTTGCACAGGTAGGCATCCAGGCAGGTCTTGAACATCTCCAGAGAAGGAGACTCCACCACCTCCCTGGGCAGCCTGTTCCAGTGCTCCGTCACCTCACTGTAAAGAAGTTCTTGCGCATATTTGTGCAGAACTTCCTATGCTGCAGTTTCCAGCCGTTTCCCCTTGTCCTGTCTCCACTCACCACTGAAAAGAGTCCGGCCTCGCCATTCTGCCCCCCACACTTTAGATATTTATAGACCTGGATCAGGTTTCCTCTCAGTCATCTTTTCTCAAGGCTGAACAGACCCAGTTCACTCAGCCTTTCCTCATAGCAGAGATGCTCCAGGCCCTTCACCATCTTCGTGGCCCTCCGCTGGACTCTTTCCAAGAGATCCCTGTCTTTTTTGTACTGGGGAGCCCAGAACTGGACGCCGTACTCCAGATGAGGTCTTACCAGGGCAGAGTAGAGGGGGAGGATCACCTCCTTTGACCTGCTGGCCACGCTCTTTTTAATGCACCCCAGTAAGCCATTGGCCTTTTTGGCCACAAGGGCACACTGCTGGCTCATGGCCAACCTGTCGTCCACCAGGACACCCAGGTCCCTGACCCCAGTCCTGAGAAAGAGTAATAAAAATAGACTGAGATGAACTCACATATAAAGCAGCAACATCCTAAATGTATGATTATTATAAAGGAAAGACATGGAGCTCTTGGAGCGGGTGCAGAGGAGGGTCACTAAGATGATCAGAGGGTTGGAGCACCTCTCCTGCGAAGAAAGGTTGAGGGAACTGGGCTTGTTTAGTTTGCAGAAGAGAAGGCTCCAGGGAGACCTCACTGTGTTCTTCCAGTACTTGAAGGGAGCTTATAAACAGTAGGGGGGACAGCTGTTTTCAAGGGTGGATAGTGATAGGACAAGCAGGAATTGTCTTAAACTGTCATGGGTGAGGTTTAGGTTAGATATCAGGAGGATGTTTCACACAGAGGGTGGTGAAGCACTGGAGCAGGTTGCCCAAGGAGGTTATGGATGCCCCATCCCTGGAGGCATTCAAGGCCAGGCTGGATGTGGCTCTGGGCAGCCTGGTCTGGTGGTTGGCCACCCTGCACATAGCAGGGGGTTGAAACTAGATGATCATTGTGGTTCTTTTCAACCCAGGCCATTCTATGATTCTATGATTATCGTTGCTGCAATTTAAATGAATTCCTTTCAAAATGTTTCTTGCTTTCATGGAATGACGCATTTCTGTATCACAGTAAAATTGTAAAAGTAGCTCTATTTCTGCAAATGATTTGGGTTTCTGCAGAAAAATACTGTCTTGTTTCTGCAGATTGCTAGGTGACAGCTCAGTAGTGACTTCTAGTTCATCACTGCATCAGAGACTTTGATTCCCCTAGGGACGTACAATGGCTGGGGAAAAAATACTTAAGATGTCACCTCTTCTCATTAGTAATTCAGCAGCTTAGCTTCTTTTGCTGTAGACACTTTCATGTTTTAGGGAGGAAGAAGAGGTAGAATAGGAGTTCCTGGTCTTCACTAAAAGAGAATTAAATTTTCTTTTGCTATATCAAGCCTGGTAATACTGACTTGAGAGAGAGACTTTCTTGTCTTATCATGAGTTCAAAGGGAAAACATAAACTGTGTTCCTTGTTACTTACAGTAAGATTTTATTTGGTATTGGATGATTTTAAAAATGTATTTACTGTTTTCTTCTGAAGACTGTGTTCAAGAAAGGAGTTTGTCCATCAAACTCTTGGGAGGTTGTACTGCTTTTATTAATGGGAATATGTAATGCTAGATCCAGAGTGTGACTTCACTGCTGGCAGTCTTCTTTTACATCTTAGTGTTTTCTGTTAAGATAAGGATAAATGCATAGAAACATTTCAGATCAACAAAACACTGTATCTATGAAGATATGAAGATATTTTAAATATCTTCTAGAACTATCTTAGTGTCTTACCTTGTTTTTCTTTAAATGTTGGTGTAGGTAGTTAAAGGGGAAACTGAAATTATCATGGCTGATTTTGAGATAGTGTAATTTTGAATTAACTGGTTGACTGAATAAAAAAAACAGTTAAATAGAATGAAAGTGAATATGTTCCCTATATCTGTAAGAAAAGCTAGTCTTAACAAGAGCTGGCTTACCAGTTTAGAAAAAGAGAGTGCGTTTTGATTTTTAGTTTTTGATTTAGCTGTTTAGTTAGTGATTTCTAGTTCTTCCAGTTATTATTTACTTTAGTCGCCGCTATAAACTTCTTCCCGGCTTTATATTTTGAAACTTAGTGGAAATAAGGGTAAAATCCTATGCCTTTTAAAATTGTGTGCGCGTGTTCTCAATTAAACCCCAGTGTTCCTGAATTTGAGTTCTTCTTCCTTGACTCCAAGTGGTTGAGTGTACAGAATAAAAGTTCAAAAGCAGTAGGAATCTTTTTTTTTTCATTCACTTCACTTTTATGTTCTGGTTGTAATTTATAGTTTACTTGAGAGGTTTTAATAGTTTGCTGCTGTGATCTGGCTTTTCTGAGTGGAAGAACAGATGTGTACATTCAAAAGACAGCCTTGAGAGCATAATCGTGACTTAAAACTAAGAGAATGGCTGTGCTAATTCATTATCAAAGGATAAGATGGGGTGTGAACTTGCAGTACATCTACAGTAACTGCAATGTACAAATGTTTTCTTGTGGTAAAAATAAGATGCTTTATCCTTTGAAAAAAAAAGCTTTAAAACTCTCTTGTGATTTTCATATTTTCTACTGGCTAAAATCAGACTTTCTAGAGCAGGTGGTACAGTAAATTCATATCCTCTGCTCTGAGACAGCTTTTTTTGTGCACCAATATCCAATGTGATAAGCTATCACTAGGGGCTGAGTAAAGATAAGTTGATGTGGAATAATAGGTGGCATTACAGTTAGGCCAAGGAAATTGAGATACTTTGATTTTTTAGATACTGTCTTTAAGCTAGGAATGCTACTATTTTTATGATAAAGAGATGGTGCTAAAATGAAATTTGTTGTGGCTGTGAGACAATAAGTTCTATGCATTAAACTATTTAACATAATGGCTTTGTTATATTTTAAAGCTCGTGTATAACAGTCTGACGCTGATGAAGGTAGAAAAATGAGGAACAACTCATCTGAGCTTAATATATTCCCTCAATTTAAATACCTGAATTTTTAGCAGAATAGTGAAAAAACTGTTTATGCACATAAATGATTGTTTTATAATTTTAACATACAAATAAATCAATGATTTGCCACATAACTCAAAATCCGGTGTTTTCTTCTAGCTGTAAATCATCTAGAATGGTTCTTATCTAGTATGTGCAATCAGTTCAAAGATTTAAATTAACTTTTAAGTTCTAAAGTCTCTCTCTCCTTTTTGTCTTGTTCTAGGACGTTTTTGTATTTAGACATGAACTTGCTCTTCTAAGAATATCTGCCTTCATGGGTATAATAATATTAGGCGGAATAAGTGGACTCTTTTACACTCAGCTAATTGGTATTTTCACTGTAAGTATCTAATCCCTTAATTTTAAAAATACGTATTCATTTTATTTTTGATAAAATTAATAAAAACAGAAAAGCATGTTGTATTTTAAGGATAGAGAAATCCTCTCACTATTTCCACTTATTCGTTATGTGATTTATCAAAAGTCTGTTTTCAAGGAAATCTTAAGAAGCCTTCTCTCAAACTGGTGTCTGATAATTCACCTATCAAAGCAATTTCCTGACTTGTGTTGATAAAATAAAACCTTACATTGTTATGGATTGATAAAGCGTACAAAGTACTTACTTTGCTATATTTTGATATTTGTTTTTAATTTTAAACTTTTATATGCCATGGTCTCAGTCTTTGTGACAGTGAGGCCTGCTGATAAATCGTACATTTTGAGAACATATACTTTTTCTTAAGTATGTTAATAAACAAGCTTTCATATCTTCTCAGTTACTAAATTGTAGAATGAGATTGTATTATATTAATTGTTACAGTACAAATTCAAATTCTATACTTAAATGTAGAAACAAGAGTAACCCAGAAAACCACTTCTACATGGAAATGTTTCACACTTAAATTAATTTAGTAATTTAATAAATGTTTGTGAGACAAAAACACTAGTTCCTTCTTTACATTAGAAATTAATCACTGCTAGTGAATGCTGTAGAACTGCATTAAGAATACATAGAAATGTTTAGAGCACTCCAGTGTTGAACTGGAGTAAGCCTCTACATATCTAAAAGAATTGTGATCTGGTTTGCCAGACATTTTTTAGACATAATGAAGTACAAGATAACTGCATCTTTGTGACTACAGCTGATTGAGATCTACCTGAGAATTAATTCTGGCATTACCAGGGCTTGTGTGTTAACCCACCAGATGCATAATGGAAAACCTTCTAATTGTAATGTGTAATTCCTTTGTGTGGAATAAAGGAAACAATATCGTAAATTTTGAAATCTTTTAGATAAAAATAATATTGTTTTCATTGTGTTTTCTTTCTTTTTCTTTCTCTAAGTTACTGCCTTTGATCCTTCAGTGACTGTTGCAAAACAATATGCCGTCTAGCAATCTTCCAGCATTCTGAACTCTCAGCTCTAGCTGTTTACTTTTTGCGCCTGTTTGTGGTGTGCCTGATTTCTCTGTTCCAGGGTCTGGCTGATAAGTCAACTCTGTTTAAATGCCTGCTTTAATCTTTTATGTCTGTGTAGAGTTAGAGTTTAGAGTTTTGCCTTGTTAGGTATCTAGCTAAAGTGGTGCAGACATCTGGATTCTACTCCTTCTCCCACTGGTAGAGGAAGACAAGAAGCCTTAATGTTCATATGCTGAATTGTGCATGTCTTTTGAGACTGTTTAATGGTTATATGAGAAGAAACAAAAAAACATGCTTTCAGTACTACTCCAGAAATGATGCAGGAGAGAACAAAACAAAACCTACATGTATATGGCAGTATAATTCTGCCTGTTGCTGCCAGAAGCAAAATTAAATTTTTGCACTGACTGTCAGTGTCCACCTATACTGTTAATATACATGAAAGAAAAACTGAGTGAAACCAATTGTCAGACATACCTGAAACTTGGAACATTTGTATTTTGGCGCAAAATACCTACTGTACTGCCCCTGTGATGCACATGAACTCTTAGTATGTTCTTTCACCAGTCTGACCCCTTATGCAATTAGACTGCCACCAGCCTACAAAATAATATTGGAAAGCTGCATTCTTTGTGCCAGTTCTGTAACACACTGTGTTGTACATCCCATTGCACCTATTGAGCTGGCTACTGCCCTGAAATAGGTAGGAGCTGAAAATAATGTTTTCAAGACCAACCTCATTTTCTGTTGATTGTCGAGCTCCAGCATGCCTAGATAATTTCTTTTGTCATATTTGACAAACAAACTCACTACAGAATTGCACATATAGATATACAGTCTCTAAGAGTCAGACAGCAGAAGGTACAGGTCTGAAGTAGGGCCTGTTACTGCACTCTGCCTGAAGTAGAACTTCTATGCCTGCCTTTTATGCACAGTGTTTTAGATCTGGGATTACTGAGAAGTATAAATCTGTAATTGGGATCTCTGTTCACACCATGTGACTACTGTTGCATTGATTCATTGAATATAGGCTAGAAGGATCTTCTGAAGGTTAAACCCTATGCAGCAGGACCAGCTGCATAGAAAGGTTTATTCAGTGATAGTCTCCTCAGTCAAATATATCCAAATACAGAAGCAACACAGTCTCCCTGTTTAACCCGTTTCAGTGTTTCAGTCCTGCTAGTCAAATTTCAAACAAAAAAAACCCCAAATCTGTTGTTGAGGTTGTGCTTAGACTGTAACTTGTGTCAGAAAACCTAACTGTACAGTGTTGTAGTGTGGGGATTTGCTTTCTCCATAAGCAGTTCCCAAAAGTTTTGGGTAGCCAGTGAAAAAGGCAGGTGAGAGGGCAGCGGCTGAGTAGTTTCAGGGCTCCCCAAAGGCACTTGTTATGGTTTGAATAGGGAAACAAAGAAAATGGATGTGTCCACCCACAGTGCTGAGTGCAATGTAGATGCATTTATGTCCTGTAGAAAAAAAATAAAATACGGTCGCTTAGAAATAGTAGTAATATGCTTACCGTGTTGGAGTTCAGCACTAAGCATTCCGGCATGAATAGAGCAAACTTTGTCTGAAGTGAAATATATTTAAAATGATGAATTCATGATGAATTCATTGTAAGGTACAGATAAAAATTTACCACAGTTTAGACAATTAGAGACTAGTAGTGCAGGCTTGAGGTTATTTTAAAAGAAACGTATGCATAGGCGTGCACAGTTACTTTAATTGCTCTGATTCTTGAGATCATGCACTTGCTGAAACAGCACAGATATCTTCAAGTGGGATGGAAGAGAGCATGAGCCTCTGTTTAGATGAGCTAAGTAAGTTCAAGTTTGTTGGGTTTTATCTTTGTTATTTACCTGCATTTCAAATTCTGCCAAAATTGGATTTTGAAAGGTAAAAATGAAGATTTATCTAAATTTGACTCTTAGCATAGCAAAACTTTTTGGTTCTCCATAAAATGAGCTTGCATTGTATAACTTTTTAGACACCAAGCCAATAGTTTATATTTCCTGTCTCTAACAAAAAGCAATAGAAGCACCTAAGGCTTACTGTCAGTCTCACAGAAGCAGCGTGCTGTATGAAACCATAGTTTTCTTCCTTCTTTAGTGTCATCAGTAGTAAAGTGCTAGTACCTGAAATGACACCTTCTGGCTTCTGTATGCATGGATGGTTTCCACAGTGATGACTGCTCAAATATAAGTGATTGGAATGTAGCTCAGTTATGAAGCAAGATAGGTACTCTCTGGTTCAGATCACTCTGGTGCTTGTGCTGATTGTTCATGCTTATAGAAGTAAAATTGCTAGTTTATCTTTTTTTGCTACAGCAGCAGGACAGGTAAAGTTGAATATATGGAATGCATTTGCATGTTGTTCCATTTTTATACGTCACTTTTCTGAGCAGAATTCCTCTTTACGGTAATTGAGCTATTATTGCTCAATAAGCCATATGATTTGAGAAATGTTGGCGTTTTCTCTCCTTGGGGCTTTCTTTTTCTGAAGTCAGAAATGTCTAACTTGTGACGGAGAGAGCATACCCAAGACACTCAGATATGCTTGAAACAGTGAAATAGCTAAAAATAGCAAAACATATTATGAAATGCAGGTAAGGTATTCTGCCTTGTGTGCTGACACTTGCTAAATTCCAGTGTTGCTCTGCAGTTGTCTGATCTATGTCACCGTGCAAGTCTTCTTGGTTAAAACAGCAGATACTTTATGTAAGAGTTCCTGAACTAAGAAAAAAGGGAGTGTTATCTTCTGTTCTTCTTTAACAAGTGTGTTCAGTGGGTACCTGCTGTAGGGAACCTGCTTTGGCAGGGGGGTTGGACTCGATGATCTCTGGAGGTCCCTTCCAACCCCTACAATTCTGTGATTCTGTGATAGATGCTTGGATAAAGTCTTGTCTCTGATAAAAATAAAGCCATTGTAACTTGCGTATGTATGGCTCTTGTGCAAAGTGATTACCAGACCAAGTTACCTAATATGCATTAATCTTTTTGAGAATGTATTCCACTTTTCTTACTGTGATATTACTGCTGGAGTATCTTGAGCACGCTGCTATTAATATCTCATCTGAGGGTTCAGGCAGTCAAAGAGCAGGGGAGGTGACTTCCCACAATGAGAGTAGAGCAGCTGGTTGGCAAAAACTGTCCTTAGAAGAACTTTTGACATGAATTATTCTCATGAACTGGGGAGCAGCTGAGGTGGCCACTTTATATGAGATTAGTGCTTTCTCCCTAGAAACTAGCATATGTGTAACACTCTTGTAGCAGGAAGGGCACGTGGCTCTTGTCATTCTCCTGCAGTTCTTTCCCAAAGCTCTGTTTGCCTTTACTCTTCGGATCTCCATGAATTTTAGCACTTTTTCCTTTTTTGCATAACTTGGAGATAAAAATAGCTAAATTATGTCTAATTTAGAAATCTCTGAAACAAGGAAAAAAACTCAGATTGTAATTCAGGGGATACTCTTCTTAAATTCTCAGCATAACAGTTAGTCTTATTAATAGCCATTTTTGTGCTTCTGAAGAGCTAGGTGGTAGAAATCAGTTTCACCCAAGAAATAAGATCATGTAGTATTGACAGCCTGCTTGTTTTCTGTGCATTACAGTAGCTTTTTCAGTCCTCTATTCCCTGTCATTGTTTGTCCTGCAAATTTAAGTTTTGTTCTTCTTAACAGGAGATGAGTCAGTATTTGTAGATTTCTGGGCAGCAAATGCAAGTTTAGAATAGTACAGTAAGTTTTAAAAACAAAAAATTGCTCTCCTGCTGTGAGTAATTATCATTGGTACCACTTAGTTCAGATGGCTTCTAGCTGGGACTCTCCTGTGAGCAATTATTTCTCAATCACTGCAAGAAGAAGTTAACAAGATAGCTCTAGTACAGGTGCTTCCAAACTACTTCATCAAGGCAAAGAGATGTTTA